CACACGCACACGCACACGCACACGCGCGCGCGCGCGCGCGCACGACAGCTCTGTGGTGGTAGGTACCCAGAATCAGAATAAAGTTTAGTTCTAGAAAACAATGCCAGTGTTATTTTTTTCACACCTGAGTCTGGCCCCTGCCAACCTAAGTAGCTTTGTTTGGTCCCACCCCTGGACTTGTCACTGTGCCTTTCTTTTTGGTTCCTTGAACGCACCAAGCTCTTTCCCACCTGGGACACTTGTCTGGGCTCAACTTAAATGTCACCTCCCACAGAAGCCCTCCTGTCTGTTCTATTTCAATAGGTTCCCTCACACCCTTATTTTCTCCCTAATGACATTCGCTTTCTTCACAGCACTCACCCACCACATTTGTAAGCACATTTTTGCGTGTGTTTATTTATTATCTGACTTCTGCTCTTTCAAGGCAAGAGCTGGCTCTCTTTCACTTACTCTCTATGCTCAACAAATGTGTTGCATTCATTAAAGAGGAAGGGCTATGTTTGAGGCCCATGAGGCAGGGATGTTTCTGGTCATTGAGTGGAAAGGCTGGCTGGTTTGCAGGGCTGGACTCTGTCCTATGTCATTTGACAGTCACTGATTCAATAAGTGACCAAGCAAGACCCTGTGCTGGGTACCAAAGATGAGGACCAGGGCCTCCTTAGAGGACTCATGGTGGTGATGACAAAGAAAACAAGACAGAAGGGGACAGGACCTTAGCAGAACGAGTGAGTGGTCTGGGAAGCAGGAAAGGGAAGGTTGGGAAAGCCCAGGAAAGCTCCTTGGGGGTGACAACTGAGCTGGGCTGTGACAGAGGCTAGGTCTTAGACAAGTGGAGGTGCTGGGAGAGGTACAAAGGTCAGGCTGGGCCCGAGGCATGTCTGGTGTGAGGTGCATGGACGGGGCAAAGGAACTCATGTTTCTGACCACAAACCATGGGTTAGGTGGCTCATGTAGTCTGTGTGACAGGGCAGGGATCACTATCCCCATCAAGGAAGTGGAGGTTGTCCAAGGTCACAGAAAGGCACAGGAAGGAGCAGAGCTGGGCTTAACTTTTGCTCTGTCTGGCTCTGCAGCTCCTGGTCGCCACTTCTAGCCTGGTTCCAGCCCTACTCCTGCGGCTTCTGACAGTGTCAATTACGTGTGAGGGAGCTGGGCATCGTTGATGCTTCATTCACCCCAGACAATCACACTCAGCACTGCACTAGGCACAGGGCAGCCCCTCAGTAAGAGCTTGGGGGGGAAGTTAAAGGGCTGCTGGGTTCCCTATGAGGGAGAACAGATGCTGGTCAGCTGTCTGTCCCTGGCACCTCCACTCTCGGGAAAGAGATTCAGGGGGCTTCTGAAGGTTTGCGTGGTCAGGACTCCAGGACTGCTCTGGGGACAGGGCTATGGACCAGCTCCGGGGCTGCAGGGTTGGGCCAGGTCCACAAAGGACAAACTGCTGAGCGACGTCCTCTCTCCTCCCACCCGTCCTCCCACTGGGCTTTCTGACCTTGATCGTACACTTCACCCACCACGGGCTTCAGGCCGTGCTCCTTCCCCGCCTCATAAATGGCTCCTCCGTCCAGAGTGACGGCGTCAGCCTCCAGGGCCTGCTGGGAACACGTGAGTCAGCCCCGCCCACCGACCCTTCCCTGTGGGAGCTGAGGGACACCCACCAGTCTGCCTGGGGCCCCTTGAAAAGCCCCGGAGTCCACAGTGGTTCTTGAAGTCTGGCCCAGGAGTCCTGTGCTGGCTTAGCCTTGCAGGCCTCTCCCCCACCAGGGCCTAGGGGTCTCCCACTTGACCAAGCCCAAGGTGACAGGTCTCCTGGACCAAGAACTCACCTCGTTTATCTAGTTATGTTCTTTGAAAAATATTATCAATTTTATAGGACTTATAATAGATGTACATAGTAAAACTGAAATCAGATAGTACAAAATGGTACGTAGTAAAAAGTGAGTCTCGCATCCACTTGTTTCCTAGCCCCCTGCCTCCTGCAAACCCGTTTCGTGACTTTTCTCTCATAGATGCAGACTGATCCCATAAATGCCCTTTTCAGTTTTATCCCTTTTTATTTTAAAACACAAATGGCAGGATACTATCCGTGTGTCATGAGTCCATGAATAGAATTATAGTTCCACTCCCAGGGACCATGATTAGATTAGGTCTTGGGAGCATATCAAAGGCTGAGCTAAAATGAAAACCCAGGTCTCCATTGTGCCCGCCCCCGAGGCTTCACTCCATACCGCGTCCTGCCACTCCAGTCCTACCTCTGAATATGGTCAGGGCCATGTTAGCAGATCTCCTGCCACTCAAAGCTTTCCCACCCCCACTTACCCACCCAGGACCTCTGGCCCTAGTCCTCCTTCCTGAGAAGCCACATAAGCCTTATTCTGGAAAACCCCATGGCAGAGTGAGTAACCACCATGGGCCACTGAGGAGTCTGCTGTCTGGGCTCCCCTTGGTGGGGTGGGTGGTGTCCCCACTTTAGTAGGCGCCTTGTAGAAGAAAAACTCTGCCTCTCAGACACCTCTCCCCACTGGCACCCATCTGAGCAAGGGCCCTCTCTGAGGCCTCCCAAAGCCTGGGCAGGAAGCTAGCTGGCCTTGTTGCCTGGGAAACTCGAGATCCTATCGCCCAACCTGGCAGGGGGGCACATCAGGGCCTTTCCCGGTGAATGAAGTTGTTGTGTGCTCCCTCCTGAGTCAGAGCCCTCTTGTCTGGCAGGCAGTGGCAGTACAGAGGCAGGGAGAGGACTCACGGTGATGAGCTGGACGCAGTGGTCGGCTGAGGTGCCCTGGACGCACAGGAGGGAGGGCTGAATCCTGGCTTCCTGGAAGACCTTGCGCATGTCGTTGCATTTCTGCTGCTCCGGGTCCGAGGTGGTACACCACCGCACCTCCATCCCGCTGCGCACTGGGGGTAAGGGACAGTGAGGCCCAGCTCCCCTGGCATCTCTAGCCCATGGCCCCCACTGTGGAGGGTGACTTCAGCAGCTCTGTATGACCCAGTCCTCTGCAACAGCAGAGCCTTCCCACTGGGAGGCACTGAGGCACAAAGAGGTGTCACAGGCTGGGAAGGGCTGGCTCACTGGCAGAGCTGTGCGTGGGGCCATGCATGTCCCTGTGCTCAGGGCAGATGGGTGGCTCAGAGCCAGGCCCTTAACAGAGGCGAGGGAGTGCCTCCCAGGTAGCAGCTTGGCTTCCTGGAGCACACACAGCCCCGGGGTGGAGGTGGGGGTGTGGGGGTGGAAGGAGCACAGGCTAGGGAGTCCTGCTGGCTCTGTGACTAGCAAGTTCCAGCCCCTCTTTGGGCCTCTGTGTCCTCCAAGAGGGTGAGGGACTCGGTTGTCACTAAGTGGTGTCCTTGGGCCTTCCTCATGAACTGACACATGAGACAGGGAAGTGGCTGTGGCTGCCCTTGAGGAGACTTACATCCTTCTGGAGCATCTGTGATGATGCCAGCTGCAAACCCACCCTCAGGGGGCACAGTGCCAGGCCTCTGCCAAGGAGAGGCTGAGGAGTTAGCAGGCTGGCTTCAAGTTCCTAATCCCCCAGCTGGTGACTTGAGGCAACTTATTGGACCTCTCTGAGACTGTTTCATCATCTGAGAAAGCAGATGAGAAAACCCACATTTCGTGCTATAAATAAACATATGTTGAGAGTCAGCACACACAGATTCGCATTGCTTCCGCTTAGGCCCCTCCTTCCAGTGGGGTCCTGTTGGGTCCCCTGATCTGACCAGGTCAGACTTCCAGAGAGCTCCCAGCCTGGGGACCCAGCAGAATGGTGCCAGAGCTCCCTGAGGTGGATGCCTTTGCAGACCTGACCCTGCCCACTCACCCTGCCCAGCCAGGATTGCCAGGAAACGCGAGGCTTTGGGTCCAGTTCCTGCGCCCCAGAGACCAGATCACCCTCTGGCAGCCTGTGCTTCCCATTCCCACCCCGGGATCAAGCACGCCGGTTCGCACAGTCTCCCTTCCACCACCGTCCGCCTCCCCAACTCCAGGCGGTACTCGGGAATGTGGAACTGCCCTCCCCTCGTTAGAGCTCCAAGACTGCACTCTGGTAGGCCAGGCAACTGCAGAGTTCGATCCGGGGGGCAGGTCCATTTTTATGTATCGCTGAGGTCAGAGCGATGAAGTGAACCCGTCCTGTCGCGATCCCCGCGAGCAGCTCCCCGAGGTCCCACCTCAAGTCTCACAGTCCCGGCCCTGACTGCCTTGGGAGGAGGTCGGTGCGGACGCGGGGAACCCCAGTGTGCGCCCCTTCCTCCCTCCCTGCATCCTGCGTGGCGCCTGGAGAGGCCTCCCGGGGAGATCTCTCTCGCCTCCTCCCCTCCCATCCCTTCTGATCTTCTCCCTCCTCCGTCCCCGCGGGGGCTCCGGAGAAGTAGAGCCGTTCTGGCCTCCAAACCCTCTGGCTTCCACGCCCATCAAGAGCGTTCCCACTCCCGACGTCCCCGGGACACTTCAAGGCTCTCCTATCCACGCCTCTGATCGCGCCTGTCCTTGGCGCGTCACAAGGTCCCCTTTTTTTCAAGGCCGCTTCCTCCAAGAAGCCCTCCAGACATCCCAGTTTGCCCAGGTCCTCACCCGTGAAACACGGGTTCAGGACACACTTTCCAGCCCCCGGGACTCTGCCCAGGGGCGTTGGAGAGCTCCAGGACCCCCGCCCGGCGCCTGCTCCCACTGCCCGGCGGCGGGGCCTCACCAGTGCGCAGAGCCAGGAAGAGCCACAGAGCCACACTTGGGCCCCGCATGGCGCGGTCTACAACTAGCTGTGGCCGGGTTGGGTCCAGGTGGGTCAGCAGCAGCCGGGGCTTTCTCCCTCTTTCCCCCCTGCACTGGCTCGCAGCTACTTAAGTACGACCGGGGCGTGCCGTGGTGGTGTCCACGCCCCGCAGGACGTACCCGCCTACCCCAGACTGGACACCTGGGCTGACCAGACTAGCTTTGGGCTTTTCTCTGGCGCCCCTTGCTGGAGCCTCAGCTGGCTGAGGGCCGAGTCTAAGGGCCTGGCTCTCTGGATCCCCGGCGCGCTCCTAGCCCTGGGCGCGCACGCTCAGCTGTCCCTGAGAGTATGGTATCTGGGCTCTGGGGCCTGATTCCCTTCAGCTCACAGGCTGTTCCAGGGCTCTCCCCTCGACAATCGCCTGGACTGACCGCATTCTCCCTTCCTCTTGGCCTAGAAAGACCCCAAATATCGTGTCCAATTGGAGAGGGAAAAGCTCAGATTTGGAAGGAAGAAGAGGTCAGAGTCCAAGAGTCTGAGCTGGAAGCAAGTTCCACGCCCATTGGATTCATTCAGGAGCCTCTCTTCAAGCACATATTGCGCCAAGGATCTGAGAAGAGGTGAACTCTGGTGGATAGGTCCTGGATGGGGAGGAGTTGGCAGTGGGGGACTTCACAACCTAGGCAACTGCCTCTCCTTATATCTCAAGAGGGGAAGTGACTTGCCCCAAGTTACATATTTAGTCAGTGACAAAGCTGGAACTAGAACCCAGATCCCTAGCAGAGCCTGGCTCATTTCATCATGCTTTGGAAGATGGAGAGAAGACCAAAGAGGAGGAAGAGGAGGAGGAGGAAGAAGCAGAAAAGGACAAAGAAGGAGCTGAGAGGAGGAAGAGAATGAAGAAGGTAAGGAAGGAAAGGATGGCTTGTCGATTTTTCTAGGCCAGTGGTTCCCAAAGTGTGGTCCCCAGACCACCACCAGCAGCAGCACAACCTGGGAACTTGTTAGATATGCAAATTCTCAGGCTCACCTCTGACCCACTGAATCAAAAACGCTGGGAGTAGGGCCAACAATCTATGTCTTTGATTCTGGTGCACAGCAGAGTTTGAGAACCACTGTTCTACATAGACCAGAGCCGCAGCTCCATCTGTATTGCCGATGTGGAGAATGGACTGCAGAAATTGTTACTGTCACCTGCCTCCATTTATGTCCACATCTTTTGTCATCATTCCCTCCTGAGTACCCAGGACTGAGATCCTCCCTGTTTTGGGTAGAGGACACATGTAGTAGGAATGTTGAGTGAGAGAGAAGGGACCCCTGGGTCTGAGTTTGTCAATCCTTGAGCCTGCTCTGCTCCCCCCGGAAAGGGAGCCTGCGCTCCTCCGATTAGGCAGTGGGGCTGCTGCTTCTTAGCATGGAGATGATCAGCAGAAGTTACAGGGGCTGGGCTTCAGGGTCCCTGAGCTCTTTCTTATCACTGACTCACTGTGTGACCTCGGCCAAGTTCCTTCTCCTCTCTGGGCTTCAGTTTCCTCATATGTAAAAAGTAGGTCATGATGGCGCTGATGTGCCATTCTTCTGCTAATAGCTGTCTGTTCTGGAGAATCTGCGGGGGAGGCATGTGTGCTGCAAGCCGCTTTTCCATCCCCAGCAGGATCCACCAAGCGGAGGTACCTCTTTCCAGTTCATACAAATGGACTAGCAGGTGGCCCTGACAGAGGGGCTATGGCCTGTCCTATGACGGTGGGATAAATAAGGGTCCTCCTGACTGGGAGGATGAAAAGGCTCATTTTGCACATTCTACAAGCAACCAGAAGGTATTGGCAGGATTTGTGTTCATGAAGTCGTTGCTTTAGCAAAACTCCAGGTGACACTGATAAGGCGTCAGACAGCTGCAACCCGAGAGCTCCGTGAGCTCTCTCACAGAGAGGACCTTTCCCTAACTCTCAGAACTCACTCCTCAACTGGGACTCATCAGTGAACTTGCTGTCTCTGGGCTCCAGAGGCTTCTAGATCAGGCCCATTTACCTGGTCTTCACATGCTCATGGCTTTGTATTGATACCCGTGGGTAATAAGGAACGCTGCCTCGGCTTGAGCCTGGATCCTGCTATTTCTGAGGTGCAGGCATACCTACCTGGGTGTATCAGAGGAATGGGTGAGAGGCAATGGGGTATAATGAGCCAGTAATTTAATCCAGGAGCAGCCTCATAGAGAAGCAGAAGCGCTGAGGATAGTTGGGTCCCCACGCTGGACTCATATTGAGGTGAGAGTATAAAAAATACAAGAACTGGTTTCACTAACATTTCTGTAAGGTGTTGGGGCCTAAGTAACACTGCTTTGGGACCCCCCTGACACTACTCCATGAAACGAAATACAAAGAGCTCCTCTTCACTCTGCCAAAGAAACAGCACTGGTCTCCAAGGACTCAGGGTGCTTGCTCGTCAGGGAACTGAGGAACAGTAGCAGATGCAAGGGGATGGGACACACTAAAGACAGCCTCTGCGGGCTCAGAAAGAAAAGGGGGCCTTTGACAGGGAACCTGTACTGGTGGGTGGGGCCTGCAAATGAGCCAGCAAAACGTGGATGGACAATTCTTTTACCCAGAATCTCAGGAAAATTCATTTTTTTTTCCATTTCAACAAACCATAGTTTATATTTTTCTATTTCTATGGACTGTAATGTTCAAACAGTTTTCCTTCTGGGGGACACCTGGATGGGCTGGTATGCATAGAGAAAATTAGTACTGCTGAACATCTGCCGCAGTAAATGTGTCACCAAAGGCTATCACACTCTTACAGTGAGTCATCACTTAATATCGTCCATAGGTTTTTGGAAACTGTGACTTTAAGAGAAAAGATTCATAATGAAATCAATTCACCATAGGCTAATTGATGCAAACGAGGGTTCCTATGTCATATTTCTGGTCACAAAAACATCTCCAAACTTCTAAATAAAGATCCAAAGCACTTCTAATATTAAACATTGAAACAAATGTGAGCTATACAGACATTTAAGAAAGGTGAATAAAAACAAGTAAGATAATTGTTTTCCAATCCACGTACTCCAGTTCAGGGTTGTGGGTGGCCAGAGCCTATCCTTGCACCTTAGGGTGCAAGGTGGGACCCCACCCCGGACAGGCTGCTTGCAGCAGGGTGCACTCTCACACACCCACTCACTCAGATGGGGATGTAGACACGCCAGTTCACCTCACATGCTCATCTTTGGGATGTGGGAGGAAACAGGGGGACCTGGAGAAAACCCACACAGACGTGGAGAATGTGCGAACTCCACAGACTTGGCACCAGCAGGGAATTGATTTTTTTAATCAACATTATAATGAAATGACATTATTTGAGGATCTGCTGTACTCCTGACATCATTCACCATGTGTTTCCTGACTGGTTAATACATCTGAATTTATATATTGAGATCGACGGTAGATATATTGAATGTTTTGGGAACAAAAGCTTTTGCCTCTTCAAAAGTATTTTCCCCATGAAGCTGGACTTGGGGGAGCCCTGCTCATTTGGTTACATGGTAGTGTCTGTGTAAGCTTTCAAAGGAACATCTGTGCTCTTGAACACGGTCTTGAACACGGGAAATGATTTCTGAGTGTCAACTATTGAGTTTCACTAAGTTAAACTATTGAGTTTAACTAAGTGTCTTATGCTGCTGAGGGGTAACGACTGAGAAGAGCCACAGCATTTGGGGACTAGGCGGTCCCCAGGCAGCTTTGAGCAGTTTCTGTGGCATGGCAAGGGCCGAGGCTTGGCCAGGAAGGCTCAGCTCCACGAAGAGAGGGGTGGTGACTTGTCTGCCACCATTCCCAATATCTGGCATCATGTCTGGAATACAGTAGGCACTTAATAAATGTTACTATTTATTATAAATGAATGGAAAAATGGACAGAGTGTCTCTTTCAAGATATTTGGTTAAGAAAGGAGGAGGAGAGGGACTGTTTTCAGGGGATTCAGGGTCAAGGGAAAGTTTTTCTAGCATAGGAGAGATTTGATCATACAGAGCACAAGTAGTCCATGGAGTAGGAAGACACATGTTACAGGAAAAGGGGGTAACTGAAGAAGATGTGAGGGCTAAGACCAGGAGGACATGCAGAGAAGTCTTGAAAGGAAAATAGAAAATGTGTCTTCCTCAGAGGTGGGAGAGGGGTGGGAAGCCTCCCTTCAAATGAAGTCCCTCACCCCGGAGCTCAGTTTATTATTTCAATTATCAAACCACAAAATATTTTTTTTCCTTGAAAAATTTCCTTGCAGTCCAGACTTTAAAGTATGGAAGAGGATTAAAAGGTTCCAAGATTAACTCTGGAGATATAGCTTTAAAGCCATTAATAAATCTCCATCTATTCCGTAAGATTTAATCTGAGTGGAAACCAGTACAGACGAGGGAAAGAGTAAAGAAGTAAAATCAAGTATACTATATTTGAATCTGTCACTAAGACTTTCAGAGAAACTATTCATACCCCATCTACGTCCAAGGAGGGTTTCAGGTGACTTATAATGAAAACATAGGCACAAGGAAGATAAAATGGGCACAAAAAAAGAAAAATTGTGAAAGATATTCAGGAAGGGAAGTTATTATACCAGGAACCAGAAAGGAAAGGGCTATAATTAAACAAAAAAGAAACGTAGCTGATATATAGAGATTTATAGTTAGGCCTTTTTATCCACTCCCATCCCCTCCTCCATCCCCCAATTCTAATTTACAAATGAAGTCACTGCCAACACTTATTCAAGGCTGTTTTTAGCCCATCAAAAGCTACAGCCGTGAAGACTACCATGCTGTACAGAGACAGGCAGGCTCTGGAGAAGTAATTGTTCACTCTGATCATCTGTTATGGATACTTCACTGGGGCAGAGGAATACAAGGAGAAGGGCACCCAATCTGAGACAAACCATATGCCTAACGAGGTAAAAGCAGCCACAGCGAGCCGTGTTCAGTGTTCAGTGGACACCCAATAAAGAATTCAGGCATCAAGGGCTACAATAGGAAAAGCTTCTGTAGGAGGTGGAATCTAGGGTGGGCCTTGAAGAAAGGTAGGGCTTTGATAAGTGGATGTGGGTA